ATGCATGCGTTACTAGTGGTAGGATGATCTTGTTTACATGACAGATGTGTTTAATTCTCTCAATTATGCACTACCCTTGGTAATTCTTTAATTGCCGTTTATTTTATTTAGAAATCAACAGTGGAGTTCATCCTAGTAGGAATTGGTGATATGTTTACTGGGGTATTCTAAGAAGCAGATGATTTTGTTGGATGAAACATTTATACAGGCCGATTACATTATGCAATATATATTTGGTAAATATGTGATCACATAACGTGTATATACATAAAGCAGTGGCCTAATACACAATTATAGTTGAATTTGTTGTGTGTCATTATCATTTCAAAAGGTTGTAGGGGGAGTGATTGCAAAGCCTGGTGTATGTATTGAGAATGGCGAATTGTGATATAGTAATGATGGGTTAATGCGCTAATAACTGTGAGAAATGTAAAATGTAGTGAGATGTGCATGAAGATGAAAGAGTACATAGAGATTTATAGAAAAAAATAAAGTGGTACAATGTTGCATCCAGAAAGAAGATTATCATAGCCCCTTATTCATTGGGCAGTTTCTACTGTCGTGGTAACCAACTTCTTTGCATGTTTGGCATACTCTCTTTTGTTTTTTGGACTGCTCCATGCTTATTTCTACGGCACTTTTGATGCGTTTTCCACTGCCCTTGTTATGCACCTTCTCGGGAGGTAAAACACGAATCTCAGATGGTGCCGGTGTGCCATAGTGAGCTTCAAAAATCTTGTTCTTTTCCAAGATCTGAATCTCCGGAATAAGCCGATCTCTCGAGGTTTTGTTTTTGTGTTTTAATAACCTTGGTAAATGCATCTAACAACTCAGAATCATTCTCCGCAAGTGCAACACACGCATGGATGTTAGCCCACAAATGGTTTATCTTCCATCTAGTATTCTCTTTATTTGAATCCCCTTCAATTCCACACGAGACAGATCCAAGATAACGTTTTGCTATGTCAATCTTACACCATCGCTTTGTAATGTAATTGTCAGGAATAGTGGGACATCCCATTGCTATAAGAACAACAAATATATGCCTACAGAGGAGCCCAACGTGCTGATAATGCTTGCATGAACATGATGCGTATGAATTATCTGCAGAGTACATAACTGAGAACGTCATACCTCTATTGTCCTTAATCGTGTAGTGCAGTTTATCATCGATGTTCTCAACAAGTGTGCTAAAACACGAGAAACATGCAGCACAAATCTCTTTTTGCACATCATAAAATACTGACAACGTATATATGGCAGCGGCATGCCTCTCAATTGGCAACGGAGTCTTGAACACAGGAATGCACGATTCAGAATCTGCATTTAACTTAGCATTCCTGTGGCGTTGTTCATCCATGGCACTTTCAAACTGCATCGAGAATTCTACGAGACTGAAATGGGGGTTAGAGAACTCCCCGAAGAAGCTGTTCTCACTTTCAGATCGTGACGTTGTTCGTAGTAAACCAACCATGAATTGGTCTCTAAAATATGCTGGGATCCACGTTTGGGGAATGTTAAACAACTTAACAAACCATTTGTGTTTCACCAGATTGTAATTATGCATTACCTCATTCCATTAGTGCTCAAAATCGCGTGGGTCTAGATAATGGCTCCAAATAACTTCATTCAATTGTGTGAGAAAGACAGAATCCTTGTTTAGCGGTTCCCCCACTTTTTTCCCTACTTTTTTAGTAATATGCCACATGCAATACGTATGTGTTGTCTGTGGGAAAACTTCGCTGATAGCAGTCGTCAATGAGGGATCTTGGTCTGTTATGATGCACTGTGGATCATGGTCCATTGCATCCTGAAATTGGCGAAAGATCCAAGTATAGGATTCTATGTCTTCGTTGCATAGTAAACCAACTCCAAATGTAACACACTTCTGGTGATTATCCACGCCTGTGAATGGAGTGAACACCATGTTGTACCTATCATTTTAAAGAACAAAGTGTGATTGGATTAAAATGGTATTCAAATTGGCATTGTCATAAAATGATTGGTGTTAGCGATAAATACAAACATTCAATGAATTCATTACAATGACAATTTGCTGATATATATATATATATATATATATATATATATATATATATATATATATATATATATATATATATGCATATACATACACACATACATACATACATATGCATATACATATATATATATATATAGATATATATATATATATATGTATGTATGTATGTATGTATGTATTGGTTCTGGTGAGAATGCGATCTAATGAAAGAAATAAGAATGAATCTCACACGTTGGATGGAGCAAGTCAAATGTCTCTTTCGCTTCGCTGCCTTATCTTTTTAAACTCAAGGGCACTAATGTATTTTCATATATGATCTAGTTACTCTCTCTCATCCCTTCCTATTATTCAGCATCAACAATATTCAATTTCTTTTCATGCTATAGACTCTTCGTTTAGAATGGACTCCGATCCGTCTTTATTCAAGCAGCTTCAGGGTTCTTGTTCCACACTTTCAAACTCGACGCTCATCGAAGCATATAAGAACACATGTGTGTTCTTAAAATTTGATTTTATTTTGATTTAGTTTCTTATTTTTACTTGAGTTCTTTATCGGAAAGGTTATTTGATGTCAAGGCTAATTAGTTTTTTATATAAAATTGACTTTTTATACTTCATCCTTTTCCACGTTTTTTAGTTGAGGATGGATTCTAATACCATTTTAAGATTCCTTCTGCTTTGATGGGCTTTGAATTTTTCCCAGGTCACAATACACAAGCAACTTGTTTGATAAAATGCCCCAAAGATGTCTCTGGTATGTACGAACTACTTCCGACCTTTTTACTTTGAATGTTTTATTGAAGATGTAATACATTAGGAATAGGAACCCACCTTTGACGTTAGATATTGGTGCATTACTATTTCAGCTTCAAAGTACATATTGATTAATGTGTGTTGCACTTTTGTTCTTAGAACATAATTATTTTGCACAAATGCTCTTTTGCTTGTAAATCATGCTCACAATTAATGTTCCCTATGAAAGTGCATGTTGAGATATTTGCATTGCATATTTAGTGGAATGCGTTTTGAATATTCACTGCAATAGGTTTGTATCTTTTAGATGCAACACTTTGTTTTCATGAGTTGTCTCTCTCCATAATTCATTAACCATTATTCTTACATTTCAATTTTTGGGTGGTGTGTGAATATAAGTTTCAATACTTTTAATGTTATGGCTATTTGTGAAATGGATGCCAATTTTTTTGGGTGTAGGATTTTAATTATTTTAGGGTCAATGAGAAGTTTTTTTTCGTGACAATATGTGAATGGATTTTTGGATGTATTTTTGAGGGATTGAATGTTGTATATAAGTTTATAGTAATCAAGTTCATGATGCACTATAAATTTAAAATGTAATGCTGTGAAAGTTCTTTTATTATAATAATGCATTATGACTGCTTTGATATGACACAATCATAGTCTAAGATGTACTATGACTATTTTTAGAGAGGTTATGCATGTGGTCATGTGCTTCATTTTTTCTTTATGATTAGGTTTATTATTAATATGGTATATATTATTGCACACTCTCTACGAGATGCTAATCTAACATGTAGTTGGAACTTCTACACGTGAATATGAAATATATGTAGACATATGCTTTTAGTTTTTTAAAGTGTGCACTTGGCTTTTTGAAATGTGTACTCTTCCACTCTATCCTTCATCATAGTTTTCACAAAGTTACAAGTTATATGAGAATGCTCACATTATGAGAAATTTATAATTCATGTATTTTTTTAACCTATACCTTGTGTATACTATTGGAATCCATTGTATAATTTTATATATTTTATTTTTTCACAATATTACATTTTGATCTAGATGGCAGTGCATCTTGCAAATACTACATTGCCTTATTAGTCTTTTGTGCGGGATCAATTTTACAGTTTTCAAGGATTTGAAGATTCAATATTGGATCTAGAAAGTCAGAAGTCATAAACGAAATGAGGAAACTTTCTTAAGAAACATATCAAAATTTACCTTTCTAGTAGAGCCAATAATGAATGGAGATATTATTGTGTGGTGTACTGTTGAAGACTTGTCGTGCAGTCTAAAACAAATTAAAAATTTATAAAATATCCTTATCTAACCCCCAATATATAATCAAATAAAAACTATAGCTAGGGCAAGTAAGGGTCGATCCCACGAAGAAAGTTTGTACTTTTGAAATCAAATTAGCATGCAAACACGTTGTCACTAAAAAAAACTACTACACATATGATTAAACTTATACCTAAATAAATATAAAAACTTATAAATATAACTTATATAAACAGAGAACTTATAATATAACTTATAAACATAAAACACATACTTAGAATATACTAAAAAACGTATAAAAACTTATATTTATAACTTATTAAAAACACTTACTAAAACTTAAACATAACAAAGTAAATATTTTTTGTTTTTATATTTTTCTTATTTTTTTGGTTTTTTTTGATAAAATGGGGGAAAACAAGCTCAAAAGATAATCAACTTCTTCAATCGAGGTAACTCGAAAAACACCGCCAAGAACCCAAAACAAAATTAAAAAAACGAACACAAATCGAACATTACACGTATAATAGGCACGTAGACAATATATTACGTAACTTACGCACTTAAGAATAGGAAAAACAATCAAAGGTCGAGTCGATTCATTTCCTTAACCACGATATGGAGGATTGTCAACTCTCCACACGGCCCGGAGTCATGTAATTCAAGAATTTCATAATGAGACAAATCAAGAACAACAACTCACCAATCAAGCATGAAAACATACTTCCACTATAGAAAAAGTTTATAAAAGAGGGAATTTTTTTTCATTCTAACTCTCATGCATAATCTATTCACAAACCGCCAATACCTTATGCATTTTAATAAATTTTTTCTCCTAATGAAGAGCACATTTCACAGATTTCCATGAACTTCTCAAACGAATGACGTTTTTTCTATTCACATAGATAAACACAACATATTTTCAATAAATCAAGAATTGTTTATTGCACTTAAACAATCTCAATTTAAAGAAAATGGAAAACTAACACATAACATAACAAAATAACTCCATAACGAATTCTAAGGAAAATGATTCGACTTTTGGGGCTAAGAAGTCCAAATTCCTTAAAATCAACAAACACATAGCACGAAAAAGATTCACATATGAATTCGGAATTCATTTAACTACAATATGGAGCTAAAATAGCTTCAACAAAAACCGAATTCCACATACCAACCTACTTATGAATTCGAATTAACAATCCAACCAATTCAACAACAACTTGTGCAATAATTGAAGAAAACTAGTGTGAGTCAATGCTCATTCATAAGGGAATATATATAAACATTAAAGAAAAAACCCATGAAAGAACACCAACCATTTTTGGAATTTTCAAAATTAACACAAACAAGGAAAAAAAGTGTAAAAATTAAACTAAAAAACAACACTTAACAAAGATTTGGAGAACAAAATTGGAGAAACAAGCTAGGGTTACCACTTTGTTGAAGAAGATGAAGAAATTAAGGGATTGGAGCTTGAAGAAAAGTTGCTGCCCACCATCGTCGTCCGCCGACGAGCAGTGGTCCGCCGCCGTCTGCTTCCTACTCTGGTGCGCGGCTTCAATTTCAGTTGTCGCGGCCTAGGGCCGCGGATCTCTCGGTGATATTCCCCCCCCCCCCCCTGTTCAGCTGTGATTTGTCTTCAATTTATAGCCGAAGGATTGTTCCGTTGATTTCTTCCCGTTGGCAATTGATTCTAGCGATAAATGTAGGGGAGCGTTGGAGCGTTGAAGGAATTTGGCGGAGAGACGTTGAAGATCGGAGCTCTGGTCCGCCTATTGTGCGGCTTGCGTTACTGAGCAAGAAGCTGCTGGATTTCTTTTTCCTTTCTTGCTGGACATGAAATCAATTTGGGGGAATGGGCTGATTTTCTATTGTGTTGGGTTTAGGCTCCGGTCCAAAAGCAATCTCTTCTTTCCAAACTTGAACTACATTTTGGTCTTTTTGCTACATTTTTCTCCAAAAAATAAGATATCTGATAATTTGGGTTAGGAAAAATAAAATAAAAATAATAAAATGTAAAAAGTGTTAAAAAACTACTAATTTTGAAAGAAAATAAAAAGAATGTAAAACTAGAAATTAAAATAAAACTAAGCTAAAAAACTAAAAATTAAACTCTAAAAATATTAAAAATGCCTAAAAAAAAATTAAAAGAACTAACCCAAAACCAACTTATCATGTACTTTATATTTTGATTACTTTCTAGTGATACATTTTGAATATTATTAAGAAACAAGATGAATGATACAAATTTTGAAAGGATGTATGTTCACATTTTCTGTTCTTGTGCATCATTAGATTAAAAGTAATACATTTTAAAATAAAACGCAATGCATTCTCACAATCAAAATAAATTATAATGCATTTTATTACTTTGCATTCTCAGAATTAAAGTTGATTCGATTTAATGGTAAAATTCTTCTTGACACAAATATGATATATTTCTATATTCTTTTATAATTAAAAATCTGTAAATGATGATACATTTAAAATGTCCAGGGATACATTTTGAATATTATTAATTAAGAAATACGATGAATGATACAAACTTTGGAAGGATATATGTTCAGATCCCCCATTTCCATGTTTTCTCATAACATACAAAATCACATATGAAGTCATTATTAATTAGCCAATCCATGAATTGATAGACTAGCACCTGAATAAAATCTAAAATACAAATTACAGTGCATGTATCGGTACTCACAGTGCAAATATTGGTAATCACAATGCATCTCTTAGATGAATTTGGAAAAGTGAGATATTGAAAATCATTTCTTAAATTAAATATAATTTCAACTATATACTTCAAAAAAAATCTTAGAAGCTTGATATTTTATTCATGCAATGAGTGGAGTACTGAATGGCGGATTTTTAGGCGTAACCCATTAGCTACTTTAATGCATTATTGTTTTTACAAATTTCGCACCAGATATTAATTGTCCCCTATTTTAGTGCGCATGTGTTTGTTCTTTACCATAAACAACACGAAAGTCAAAGATCAAGGCTTTTAAAATCATAGTCGTTCTATGCATTAGATCCACTGGTCAAAATCTATTCTTATTTCTTTCACCAAGAGTTATTCTCACCTGAACCAACCTATATATATATATATATATATATATATATATATATATATATATATATATATTGGGGTCGATTCAAGTGAGAATGCACCTTGGTGAAAGAAAATAAGAATTAAATCTAGCCTTTGGATCTGATGCATCATGCGGTTCAGATTGCATCCTGCATTCATATTTTGAGATGGTGCATTTTCAAATGATTTTGGTGCATTTCGACATGTCGCATTTTCAAACCATTTTGGTGCACCTAATTTTGATGCAATCCCGATCCTTAGATCTCAGAATCTAAAGCACCAAATTCATTCCTATTTCTTTCATAAGATCGCATTATCACTAGAACCAATATATATATATATATATATATATATATATATATATATATATATATATATATATATATATATATATATATATATATATATATATATATATATATATATATATATATATATATATATATATATATATATATATATGAGGATGGCGTTTTTATAGAGAAGGAGGTGCGGCGATTATCTCTCCCGTCGATCAGATCGCCATCGCCATTTTAGTTACGAGGATCTTGATTTTATCAATCTCCAACGCTCCAAGCGACCTATTGCCAACAGGCGGAACAGAAGAAGCCGTTGGCCATTCCGCAACCAAGATCTAGAAGATAAGAAAGATTCTTATGTCTTCAGTGGCTCAAGGTTAGTTATCAACGGTTTTGATGCTCCATCCTACCATCTCCAAGCTAGCAAAAACCTCATATTCAAATTCAAGACACAATATGAGGTTTTTGAATTTTTCACTCGTTTTACAACAAATTCTTCTGCATCTCTGATTATGGAAGTAGAAGATATAGCTTATGGTTTGATTTGGACACTATCAAATGGATCTTGGATTCACTGTCCCTAATTTCCAATTGGAGAGGCAGTGAGATTTCTTTGACTGATGCAAACAGAAAATTGCATCTTTGTTTGTGCTCAAATAGAAATGGTTACTTTATCAGAATCCTAGAGAGCAGGAGAGAGGGTAAGAGGTTCCTAGTAAACCCTTTTGATTCAAACAAGGGCCGAAGCTTTTCATCAGGGCACTCTCTACTTTTATCCAAAGGGCTACTTCCGTTTGTGCTTCACTGCCAGTGGCGGAGGATAATGTTATCGTTCCAACAGAGCTGAAGGACTTAGAGCCGGATACCCAATATCCTTTCTCGGTAAAACATTCAGAGGAGGAAGAAGAACCGGAAGAGAATAACCACACAGCCCCTACAACGGATGAAGATAGAGAACTATAATCAAATTCAGTTGTTCCTTTGTCAGAATGCAACTTTACAGATGGGTAGATTGTTATTTACAAGGGGGAAGCAAAACTTAAATTTAATAGAGACTTGCTTCCACCTTTATCAAGAAAGATCTTATCTCCTATACCACTATCAAATAATATTTTTGCTACTCTCTACAACCAAGATTCATAGAAGGAGTTAAATGTTGAATGTAACGCCCCGAAAATAGGCCTATCAGAATTAATTAATTGATAATTAATTAATTACTGAGAAGGATCCAAAAATAAGTAAACCCTAAAGTTTGTCAATAATTAATAAAAATTATATCGTTGTGTAGAGTTTGACTGTCTGACCCCAATGGTTCAATCAGATTTCAATTTGGAGAAAGTTGGACCAAAAAGTGTACCCCAACTAGAACCAAAATTACTCCCAATTAGGGACTACACACCAAATGGAGCCCTGTTCAATTACGCCGATTCCAAAATGTAAATCGCCGCACAATCACGGAAGCAACCAAGCCTGTGTCTTCTTCTTCTCCACTGGCCTATTTAAGCACAACTCAACTCCCTCAATTCCTCACCAAAAACATTAATTCTTCCTCCTATATTGTTCCTTGTTGAGAGTAGAGTGCAGTGGTGCTGTCATCTTTGTGTGAGGTCGCCGGAGCAGTAAGATAGAGTCGCCGGAAGTTTCGCCGGGAAATCGTCAAAACCTCCCTTACGCTTTGAGGTAAGCCCCTAGATATATCTAATGACTAGAATGTTCATATAGGTCGTAGCTACGTTCATAAATGGTCATTTGGTTGAGTTTTGTGTTTGACATGTTTGAAGAACCAAGAATCATAAACCTTTAATTTGATGTTAAAAATATGTTTTAATAATTCTAATATGATCTATGAACCTTGGAGAACATCTCTATATAGTTTAGTTGAAGTTCGGTGACTAAAAATGGTTTTCCCGAAAAATGGACCGAGGTTGAAGACGAATGAACAGTGGCTGAAAATCCACAGAGTGGATTGATCCCCTTCATTGGATCGATCCTCTGGGAGTTTTTCTTTTAGTTGGATCGATCCAGAGGGCTGGATCGATCCTCCGAAACTCTGGTCCGAAAATTTGTCTGAAATTGCTATTTTTGAGCTCTAAAATCCTACTTTTCATACCAATTGATTATGATTATTATAAAAATGATTTTTCACAAAAAGAATGATGTTTTTAAACAAATTAAAGCATTATGTGATGCATGACGGTAAGTTCGGGTGTTAACACTCGAGACTAGGCCGCTATTTGTTGTTAAACGTCTTGTTGAATGATCATTATGATGAATAATTGTTATGAATGATTATGAATTATAAACCTACTGATTAGAATGATTATTGATGACTTAATCATGATTAAAAATGGACATATTGATAATCATAACGAGAATGTATTGTTAAGGGTATCTAGAACAACTCTAAGATATACCCATAATGAAATTGATGTTGAAAGATATCTAGAAGAAATCTAAGAT